AGGGGAAACTCAGCGGTAAAGTACGAGCAGATTAAAAGGGTTCCTGTTCAAACCCTGGAGTTCCCTTCTTCAAGGAAGTGAAGAGAAATATTTTACTGAGAGTTTCGAAGGCGGCAATGATATGTAACGTTCTGTATATTTCTAGACAAAGCATTTCGCATCCGTAACGGTTTGCGCGCGCATCGTAAAATTTCATCCTCATTATATTTCTCTAACGCCCCAAAAGAAGTAAAACATACAAAATATTATGAATTCGGATCCCCTCTATATATACTTTACATTGTCCGAAAACAGCCTTAAAACACTAAAACAATGGCAAATACAAATCCTATTCAAGTGAAATTTTTCGGAAAAAGATATTCTTTTATTACAATAATTAAAAAAACATGAAAATTAATAATAGTTAACTTTAATTTCCATTTGATAAAAAATAAAAGTCAATTATTAATTTTCTTAAACTCATTAACTATAAGACCTTAGAAAATTATACCCCTATACTTCAAATAAGGAGATAGTGCTTTTCTCGAAAAGATATTCGTAGAAAAATTACTTATTTTTGCCGCATTGAAAATAATATATAACCGATTTATAAAAAACAAAATTTATAAAACTGTTAAAACATTAGCGTTCATCGAAGTATCAACTTGTAAAATAAATATTCTCTCTCACAGTAAATTTCCTCAAACATTGTGGAGTTATCATTTTATGTTGTTCAACACTTGTACAGCAGACGTATCAAATATAATAATAATAATAATAATAATAAGTGTGTGTGTACTTATGTACGCAAATAAGAAGTTAGACTTCTTAGGCGTAACAAGATAATCTTTCTAAAAATCTTTAGCAGGGCAAGCTGGGCCAAGGACGAAAGGCGGTCACGAGCAGAGTTGTGAACGATACTAACATTCAGTCAGTCGGACCAGCCAAACCTGAGATAATCACGATATAAATAAATTTAAACACCCCAACAATGGAACAATAGGACCAATAATATGAGGGGGGGAAGGGGAATGATCTGTCCGTTTTTTCATTATTCTAGACAAAAACATTTTCGTATCCTTTCCCACGGAACCTGCCAAAAAGGGTTTTGCTGACGCGGGTATAGCTCAGTGGTTGAGTATTCGACTGCAGATCGAGTGGTCCCCAGTTCGAACCGGGAGACTTCTTCAGGGAAGTGTGAGAAGATAATCTTTTTTTTTTTGAGGATTTTGAAGGCGGGAATGATCTGTCCCATTTTGTATATTTCTAGACAAAGCATTTTGGTATACGTTCCTACGGAATACAAAGCAATGGTTCGCTGACGCGGGTGTATAGCTCAGTGGTAGAGCATTCAGCTGAAGATCGAGAGGTCTCCGGTTCAAACCCTTCTTCAGGGAAGTGAAGAGAAATATTTTTCTGAGAATTTCGAAGATGGGAATGATTTGTCCCGTTCTGTATATTTCTAGACAGGATTTTCGCATCCGTGACGGGGTGCGTGCACATTGAAAAATTTTACCCTCATCCTATTTCTCTCTCTAACGCCCCAAAAGAAGTATAACTTCAACAAAAAAAAAAAAACTATTTATATTCCTTTCTACGCATAGTGTTCTACTAAATGCAGTTATATTCAAATATTTAATACATAAATATCAAATTGATAAAAGATAATAAATCAAATAATTAAGCAAAATATGTCTATTTACTTTGATCTTTATTAGACTTTTTAAGAAGACAAATGTACAATAACATTCCATATGTATTCATTTCTATAAGATAGTTTCAGTACTGATAAAAATATATGTATTATATATGCCAATTAAATATTTTATGTCGCATCGAAAGCACCAGAAGTAGATGTTGCATGCTTGTCTAGTGTTATAAATATCTATCTAGTGTCTAGTAAAATAATCCCCATGTTCAGGTCTAAGATAAAAACCAGGGTTTCGAACCATAATTTTTTCGTAATAACGGTTTTCTCGATACAGTTTCAAATAAATAATTTTAATTTTATGCATATTCTTATTTGTACTAAAAGTATAATTCTATCATAAATAAAAAATGTAATTCTATCAAAATTTAAAATATTTTATTCCTTTTTTTAATTTGTACAATATATGAATTGCTATTTTAATCAGCATGTACGATAATGCCGGTTAACATGATCAAAATCGCGCGTATTTGACAATTAGGTTTATGATTGTTGTCTGTCTATCTAAGTAGTCTATACAAACATTTTTTTTCGTGGACCATTGCATGCTGAGATGTGAAACATATTTTTCGCGGACTGACATTTTTTCTTAAAAAAATCATTTATAATTCCAGTTCATTCAACTGAATAAATTTCCCTTCCACAAGTAGTTCCATGCGAAACTGAAACAGAAAAATACTAGTGAATTCCAAAATAGGAAAGTAAGAAGCAATACAATTACAGTGATAATTATGTGATATTAAAACGTTAAATAAGAAAGTATTGTGCGAAGTTGATTACAGTAACAAAATGACTAAAGATCTGCAGAACCGAAATAAATCTCTCTCTCACTCTATATTTTTTTTCTGTTTGGTTCCGATTTTTATTCTGATAAAAAATAACAGATTTTCCAGTTTTCAGTTCCATTCCAGTTTGAACCCCTGACAAATAATGCTGATTTTAGAATATATAATATTATTTATAATTTATTTGAGCAAGATATAAAGAAAAACCAGCGAAGTACAAAAACGAATAAAAGTACCTAAATCAAATATAATTAGACATCAGGTTACGTATTTCCGACATAAAAATGTTTTAAAAATATTTTTTATCTTTTAAAAATTTAAGCGCAAATAATAAAATGTATTCATAAACCTATAGCTTAGTGGTTTTGAAGTCGAACATTGAATGAAAAGGTTCTGAGTTCGAATCACCGGCTTATGGCGGCCTGTGATGAAAAAAAACCCTTTTTCCCCCCAGCTGACTTTGTAGATGAAAAAAATGAATATATCTGAGGCTCCCAGCAATATATACGCTACTTGCGTGTATTTTTTGTGTTTTGAAAATAAAATGAATCCTTTTTTTTTATTGCAGCAATTTTCAAATGTAGGATATCTGTAAGGAAAAAAAAATTTTTTTCAGTAAAAAAAAAAATACTTTTTTTTTTTTTAAAAATTTAAAAATTTTTCTATTATCATGAACAAAAATTCATTAAAAATGTAATCAACAGAAAAAAAATAATTTAAATTTATATTTTTCCCGGGTAATAAAAAACCAAAAAAAAAGTTTTTTCATTTTTTCAGTTAAATTTCCCAGTTTAAAACCCTGACAAAAAATGCGGTTTTGGGAATATAAAATTATTTTTTTATAATTTAATGAGAAAAGATAAAAAAGATAAATTCAGCAAAAGTAAAAAAACAAAAAAAAGTACCTAAATCAAATATAATTAGACATCAGGTTACGTATTTCCGCACATGAAAATCCCTTTTAAATAATAGTTTATAAATTTAAAATTTTTAAGCGCAAATAATAAAAATGTATTCATAAAGCCTAAAATTTAGGGGTTTTTGAAGCCCAAAATTTGGAATGCGAAAATTTTGGATTTCGAATAAAGGCTTATGGCGGCCTGGAGAAAAAATAAACCTTTTTCCCTCAGTTGACTTTGTAGATGAAAAAAATAATATATCTGAGGCTGTTTAAAACCATATATACGCTACTTGCGTCTTTCTATTTGTGTAGGGAAAATAAAAGAATCCTTTTTTTTATTAAAAGAATTTTAAAATTTAAAAAAAAGATTTTCCTGTAAGTGTAAAAAAAATTAATTTTCAGAAAAAATACAAATAAATTTTTTGAAAAAATTAAAAAAAATTTTCTATTTTTGAACGAAATTCATTAAAAAATTGCAATCAACGGGAAAAAAAATTAAATTTAAAAATTTTTCGGTAAAAAAAGGGGAAAAAAAAATAACAGATTTTCCCAGTTTTCAGTTAAATTTCCCCATTTTAAAACCCCGACAAATAATGCTGTTTTTTAGAATATATAATATTATTTATAATTTACTAAACAAGATAAAAGATAAATTCAGCGAAGTAAAAAAACGAAAAAAGTCCCTAAATCAAAAAAAATTAGACATCAGGTTCCCGTTTTTCCCACATGAAAATGCCTTAAAAAAAGGTTTATAATTTAAAAAAAATAAAATGTATTCATCAGCCTATAGCTTAGTGGTTTGAAGTCGAGCTTTAAATTTTGCAAAGATTCTGAGTTCGAATCCCCAGCTTATGGCGGCCTGTGATGACAAAAACCCTTTTTCCCCTCTTTGGGACTTCGTAGATGATGAAAATTAATATACCTGAGTCCGCTTAGCAATAAACACGCTACTTGCGTCGTCTATTTTTTATGAAAAAAAAAATGAATTCTTTTTTTTATTAAAGCAATTTTAAAATTTGTAGGATATCTGTAAGTGTAATAAAAAATTAATTTTCAGTAAAAATAAAAATAAAATTTTTTTTTGAAAAATTAAAATTTTTTCTATTATCATGAACGAAATTAAATTAAAAAATGCAATCAACAAAAAAAAAAAATAAAATTTATACTTTTCGGAAATAAAAAAAGAAAAATAACAGATTTTTCATTTTTCAGTTAAATTTCCCAGTTTGAAGCCCAGACAAATAATGCTGTTTTTTAGCATATAAAATATTATTTAAAAATTTACTGAGAAAAGATATAAGATAAATTCAGCGAAGTACAAAACAAAAAAAAAGTCCTTTAAATCAAATATAAATTACACAACAGGTTACGTATTTCCCCCGTAAAAAATGCCTTAAATAATATTTAAAAATTTTAAAAATTTTAAGCGAAAAATAATAAAAATGTATTCATCAGCCTATAGCTTAGGGGTTTTTGAAGTCGAACATTGAATAAAAAAGGTTCTGATTTAGAACCCCGGTTTTTATAGCGGCCTGTGATGGAAATAAATTTTTTCCCTCAGTTGACTTTGTAGATGAAAAAATTTGAATATAATTAAGGCCGTTTTAGAGCAATATAAAACGCTACTTGCGTCGTCTATTTGTTTTATGAAAAAAAATGAATCCTTTTTTTTATTGAAGCAATTTTAAAATTTAAAAAAATATCTGTAAGTGTAAAAAAAAAAAAATTTTTCCCAGAAAAAATACAAATTTAACTTTTTTTTTGTAAAAAAAAAAAATTTTTCTTTTTATCATGAACGAAATTCTTTAAAAAAATGCAATCAACAGAGAAAAAAAATTTAAATTTTATACATTTTCGGTAAAAAAGGGGGAAAAAAATAACAGTTTTTTCCAGTTTTCAGTTAAATTTCCCAGTTTGAAGCCCCTGACAAATAATGCTGATTTTAGCATATAAAATTTATTTATAATTTATTTGAGCAAGATAAAAAAATAAAATTCCTACAAAACGAAAAAGTACCTAAATCAAATATAATTAGACATCAGGTTCCGTATTTCCGCACATGAAAATGCCTTAAATAATAGTTTATAATTAAAATTTATGCGCAAATAAAAAAAATTTATTCATCAGCCTATAGCTTAGTGGTTTAAAAGTCGAACATTGAATGCGGTTTGAGTTGGGAATCCCCGGGCTTTTTGGGGGCCCCTGTGATGACAAAAACCTTTCTCTCTTTCCCTTTCTTCATGATGAAAATTAATATCCCCGAGGTCGCTTCCCCAATATATACCCCTACTTGCGTCGTCTATTTGTGTGTATGAAAAAAAAATAATCCTTTTTTTTATTAAAACAATTTTAAAAAATGAAAGACCTGAAAGTGAAAAAAAAAAAAAATTATTTTTCGGTAAAAATACAAATAAATTTTTTTTTTTGAAAAATTTAAAATTTTCTATTATCATGAACGAAATTCTTTAAAAAATGCAATCAACAGAAAAAAATAATTAAATTTAAAAATTTTTTCGGTAAAAAAAAGGGAAAAAATAACAGTTTTTCCCAGTTTTCAGTTCAATTCCAGTTTGAAGCCCTGACAAATAATGCTGTTTTTAAAGAATATATAATATTATTTATAATTTACTGAACAAGATATAAGATAAATTCAGCGAAGTAAAAAAACAAAAAAAATTACCTAAATCCAAATAAAATTAAAGACATCAGGTTACGTATTTCCGCAAAATGAAAATGCCTTAAATAATGGGTTTAAAATTTTAAAATTTTAAAGCGCAAATAAAAAAAATGTATTCA